TTTAAAATTATTACCAAGACAATTGAGCAATCTTATACATTCTATACATTTTAATATAATTTTATATTCTAGTTTGGAAAATTTTCCTAAAAAATTACGTAATCTTACATCTTTGACATATTTTAAAATAGATGTATGCATTAATTTGGAATAATTTAAAAAAAAAAAATAGATAATTTGACATCTTTGACACACTTTTATACAAATGAATGGATAGAATTAATATCATTGTCAAAAAAATTGGACAATCTTACATCTTTGACTCTTTTAAAAATTGAGTGGATGCTTAAGAATAACATCATTGCCAAAAGAATTGAAAAATCTTATGACTTTGTAATATTTTAATATAAGTAGATGCTTTAGTTTAACATCATTATCAAAAGAATTAAGCAATCTAACATCTTTGATTCAATTTGGTATAAGTAGATGCCAAAACTTAATATCATTACCAAATAAATTAGGAAATTTAACACCTCTGATATATTTTTATATAAATGAATGTGTAAACTTGAAATTATTTTTAAAATAATTTAACAATCTTATATTTATAAGACTTTTGGATACTTATGGAAGCTCAAATTTGATAACATTATCAAAGAAATTGAAAGAAATTACATCTTTAATATTCTTCAATATAAATTTATAATTATACATGTTATTTTACCAAAAAAAATTAGTAGCTTTATATCCTTGAAAAATACTAGTTGATAGATAGATGTTCAAATTAGACATTATTTCCAACTACTTTCGAAATTTGGATATGTTTAAATGTAAATTTAATATATTAACTTCATTAGGTTTTATAAAAAAACTATGAGAATTAAAAATATCTATGAAATAAAAAATTGTCATATATAAGCTAATTTAAGTTTAATATTATTTCTAAAAGACTTTGGTATAGAAGAAAATTCATAAATTTATTTTTTTTGGAAAAAAATACAATGACTTTAGATGTTTAGAAAAACTCAATATTTGTACTTATATAGACTTGGTATTATCTTTTTTTATACTAATTTGATAACAAGCAATAAAATTAGTCATAGAAATTACTAATATTAATAGATATTCTTTTCTTTTTATAATTTTATTGGCATCGAATTTAAATAATATAAATATATATAATATTTTCAAATATAAAATAATAATTTAATTTTCATTAAATTTAGATAATTATCTTAAGTGTAAATTTTTCTAAAAGCTATCTTATTTGTTTTAAGGTAAAAGTTATTTATAATTCTTGTTTATCATTTGCGCACTGATTTGTGTAATAGCATATTATTTTTATCAGTTGTATATATTATGGACCAAGAATGCATTTGAAATTTTATTTTATTTAAATTTAGTAATCATTTTGACTCTTAAAATATATTTTTAATTTTTTTTGTAGTTGTAGCCAAACTTTGTTGTACTTAAATTAATTTTATTCCTTATTTTATCTAAAAATCAAGTAGAAGTTCATATAAAATAAAAATTTAAGTCAAAAAATATACAATAGAAATAAAATCTGATAAGTTTTTTTTATTATTATTTTAAGCCTTATTTTGATAGATAAATAAAATAAAAATTATGAGTGTATATATATATATATATATAAATGTATCCATTGTTTTTTAACTTAATACAAATGATAATGAAGGAATTTTGGACTTAATATAATTTAAATGAATCTTTTATAACTTAATAGTGCATGCTTCAAATCATTATACAAAAATATTATATATTTACAGGATTTAAAAAAGTGATATGTAAAAAATAAAAATAATTATACTTTAAGAATAATTGAATAAATATTTTTAATATTTATAGAATATTTATAGCCTAATTAAGAGTATAAGATTATTATTAATTAAAATTATAATTTATTGTAATTATAACAATGCAATAGGAGTAATTGAAATTTAATTTTTTAAGTTTTGAATATATTTTGTACATCAATAATATAAAAAAATATAGAAGAATTTAAAAAATAAAATACAATGAATTCAAATACTAGATTAGAAAAAAAACGTCAAGATATATAAGTGGAAAAAGCCAATACTCAGAATGTTCCAAAATTGGTATAGAAGAACTAAGGTTTTCCTTGTACTTATTTTTTTATATATCCTATGACAATTCAGTCCTATAGAAGTCCTTAAAAGAGATTTTAGGAGTTGTAGAATGTTGTAGAATAAGGTAATCATTCCTTATTGATAACTTTAAATAGAGATTATTCTTTCTTGAAAACATTTGCATTGATTTTTTTTATTATTATGAGAGTTTTTTAAGTCATATTTTTTATTATTATATAGAGGTTTACTATTTTATATGTCAAATCTTTTATTATCAAATTATCTATTTTAATTTTTTTAAGTATATTAAATTATATATGATAAATATAATTGGTAATAAGATAACATTTATTAATTAGAAAATATAATATATTAATATATAGAAGATATTTTAATTCAAATAAAATTTTTAATATTTTTGTAGTGATATTCAATGGTAGATTATAAATATTGCTACAATGCTTAATTTTCATATTATATTTGTCTATTGATTTAATAATAATAAACCAAGGCAACTCGGTATAAACTTTTAGTATATTAAAAAGACATCATTTAAAACCTTGACACAAATCAAAATCATCAATTAGATATATCATTAGTTTCAAGTCTATAATATTAATAAATTTTATTAGAAAATTTTTAATAGTTACTTCACTGCTAATTGTTATATATAAGATACAAAATATGAAATTTTGGATAGACACCATACTATTACAAAACTAAGGTTGTTTTAAAATAAGTAAAGTTTGTAATCCATAGGATTATTATCTTAGAGTCTTTGGTTGAGAACTATTGTCAAAATTTTGAATAAATTCTTTGACAATGTAATACATTTGAATCAAATACAAAAAAATAAAAATAAAAATAAAAATATGTATATATATATATATATATATATATATATTAAAAATTTAAAAATAATAAATCCAATATATTTATCTTAAAAAATTAAATAATAATAACATAAAACAATAATAGAAACAAGTATACAAAATAAAGATAAAAGAAAGTAAAAAAATTGAATTGTGTTAAAATTACAAAAACATGAAGTAATTAGCTAGAATAATAGTAAATAGGGTTGCAATGCTTAGAAGCACAAAATATAAGAATATATATGAGATTGTGGTATCAATTAAAAATAAGTGTTGTATTGATAAATTATAATATTAGTAAAAATTCAAGATAAAGAACTATAGATAATAAGTAGATGACATTTTTTAAATAAAAAATAAAGCATAGGAGATTAAAAATAGAAAGGGTGTTTAATTAAAACTCTGTTTTTATACAAAGTAATTTTACTCATAAATCTTAACAAGAAAATGGCTATAAATTATTATAGTACTTTGTTAAGTTTAAATAGTTAAAAAGATTTATAAAGTGCCATGTTTGTGTATTAGATTTTGTATATGTGTTATTGTCATACATGCAAACATAGTAAGTGGTTCTACTACAAAAAAAAAAAAAAAATAATTGTTTTGATAAAATTTGAGGAATAAGTTAGTCTAAGAATATATATATATATATATATATATATAAAGGGAGAGATTGTTGTAAAGTATAATTTTACACAAGCAAATAGGAGGAACTTTAAAATGGTAATATGATCTAAAATTTTAAATAAGTGAACATTAGTATTTACAGGAGCAGCCCACATCAAAAGCTTTGGTACATGGATATTCAAAATGGCGAAATTCCGGTTCCTCATTTAATTAAGTTTGATACGAATAAGGAAGTTAAGGAGATTTTTCAGTACCAAGCCATTTTGGTGAAAAAAAAGGAAAGATGAAGGCAGGCCTGCAGTGTTCGTTCAGCAGGCACTTCTCCATGAATCTTAGTGAGAGAAAGTTCATTTACCAGCTACAGTGTATTCAGTCATGGCCGAAACCACAACTGATGCACGAGAACAATTCACATGCGTTTGATTTGGACCCTTCTCGAGTTCAGTGCAACCCAAGCCTGCAAATATAACAAGGACTGAATCCCCGATTGGCAAGAATATAATCGGTTTGGGTTATGGAGAGGTAGGTTTCACAATTGGAATGACCATGATGGTGAAAATCTTAGTTGGGTTTAGTTCTACATGGAATCTTTGAAATCCAAACGAGACACACAGCAAGAAGGATGATCGATGATATAGATAGTAAGGAAGGAAGGAAGGCAGAGACGTCTGGCCGAAAGATCAGAACTTGGTGAAATGCAGGGGAATGTTAGTTTCGAGCATGTGGAATAATGCGTAGCAAGTAGACGGCGCTCGAATCCGACGCAGACAGATTGTAGAACAAGCTCTTCGACAATGGAGCTGATTCAGGAAACCAATCTGTTGTGGGCCAATATGTGAGCGGGAGTGAGGGCGTTTAACTCCATCTGCGTAGACGCTACGATAGAACAACTTTGTTGAAAACAGCAGTGGCGGTAGTGGCTACAATTGCGACTGCAATGACTTTGATGACTCTAGGTCTTCACTTGGAGGTGAGCTCTATGAATTATTGCTGGAGTTGATGTCGAACACCATCGCTACCGAGAGGTTCTTGGTTGCTAAAGTTATCAAAGGCAATTGCTGTGGCCAAAGGCAATGTATCTGGTGAGGATGGTGCCTTTACCATTGTGAAACGTCAAGTCGAGAAGCATCCCAGGGCTGGTGGTTACAAAATTGCAATATGCAAATCACGATGGAACCATGCAGGGAGCTATCATGGTGGAGATTACCACTATATTGACGTGCTGTTGACAGACGCAACCAAAAAGATCGTGAGGGATCTGGAGGACAACGACGCGGCGTTTTCCAGCGTTGAGGTGCTGGATGTTGGAGCAGCTCCAGAAGGAGAATAGTGGAAGATGAAGTGCGAATTGATGAAATACGTGACAATTCCAATGAGGCTTCCTCACAAGCCCACACACATTTAAGTGTGAAGAAAACGCACCAAAGATGCAACCTTTGAAAGAGATAATCTGTTAGCTTCAAAAACATGTAACGCTCATTTGTTTACGAGCAACTTCGATTGCAAGTAAGTTCAGTAGAACACTGGGGAGCATACTTCAAGCGATACAAAACAGATACCTCAAAACTGCTACAGAATACAAGTAATTTCAAATTTTCATTGATCATGTCAGGCAACTCTCTGATTGACTGAGGTCCAGATCCTAGTAGCCAGAACTGCGTGACTGGAAAACGCATGGAAAAGTGAGCACCAAACCTGAAGCCAACTCATGCTTGATGAGCATGTCAGAAGATTAAGTTCCAGGGCTATCGTCTACTCACAACCCCCCTGTCGTAATTCATGGGATGATCGATAGAGATCCTTGCAATCCTCCAACTTGAATTGCCAGAAAGAGAATATGCGTCGCGATTGAAACCCACAAGTCGGAGGGTTTAAGGTAGACAGGTTTTGCCGTGATACCACACGAGCAGACTCCTGATATGTTATGATTTTTTTATTTTTTATTTTTTTCGAGGTAGAGCAGAGAAAAAAGCATGAGTCATTCCGATCCACATTCAGCGAAGGAAGCTCCAAGTGAACGAGGCAGAAATTGATCGAAATGTGACCAGACAAACACAACAGAGGGTGTCAGTTCTCCAGTGTCGATGTGGCCGAATACTTCTTGCTACTTGCGCAGTTATGATCAAGGCTACAATCCAAAACCTCCTTGCAAGGAACAAATTAACCTGCTTCGCAAACGCAGGACCCAATTTCCCAGAATGTGACCATTAGGCCGGAAATGTTTCCGGCGAAAAATTCCCTGACAAGTTTTGATCGAGAGGAGCAGCACCCTAGATTGGTCTGAAAGGAAGCTTGGCCTTGGGAGAAGATTTGTAACTCATGGGACCGGAGTTCTCAAAAGAAACACATCGCATCAACCGGGCACTTTGCATTGGACTCTTGCTTCCAGTCGACAACTCACTTGTGTTACTCGCGGGGCAACTTTCTCGCCGTCGGTGGGAAGTAAAATTTGGCGATTTCGGCCTAGTGGGTGCTATCTTACGAATCCTGGGTTGAGCAGGGGCAGGCTCTTGGTAGAATTGTGGCACCGGATTCGCTTTGTAGGTCAGCTTCTTCCTTAGCTCCCGCAATTGAGCCTCCTTCTCCTCTTGCGCTTTGGCCTCCTGCTGTTTTTTCTCGGCGTCCTTCAGTTTCATGCGCTCTTCGAGTTTGCTGTAAAAATCCTTCCGCCTTTCCGCTCGCTCATCTGTTTTGAACTTGAACCCCGCTGGCTCAGTATAACACTTGGCGTGGTCTACCTTGGAGGGCGTATCCCTCGGAGCTTTCCTCGCAGATTCAGTCTTCACAGGCGTCGTGGTACCAAACGCTGTTGTAAACTGCAGTGCTTTCGAGGGATTGCTTGTCGGCGTCACAGGCGGCTTTACAGCTTTCAACGTCGCAGCTTTAGTGGGGGTCAGGAATCGCGGCAATGGCGTTGATGATGCAGGGTTCGCAAAGTTAGGCCGTTTCTCTTTGGGCATATCACCGTAAATCGAATCCTTCCAGGTCGGTGCCACGGGCGATACGGATCGCGCCGAAGCGCTGGACAGTCGCGGACTTAAGGCAGTCTTTGGTGGAGTGATGGGGCTGCGAGGGGAGTTACCATTCTCTAGCAAATGGCGAGGGACGGGGGATGTGAAGCGATCCGCCAGGGTCCGTTTAGGGCTGATGAGACTACCGGTACTCGGATTCGGCGAAAGAGCTTGAGGCGCCTCATCTCGGACTCTACTCCTGATGCCATTTGAAAATTTCTCAACAAGAGCATTCACGCTTACGGTGCTCGTAGCTGGCTTGGGTTGATCAGATGTCTTCGCTACTTCAGCTTGCGAAGTTCTGGATGACACCCTAGACATGATGCTTTGCAACCTCGAGCTGGTCCTAGATAATGGCGTTGCAGACACTTTTCCTTCACCAGCCACGGACTGCACTCTATCAGCTTCCTTCCCATTCGAGTTCTTGTGGACATCGGTGTTCGATAGTTTGAATTTGAGAGGCTCATCCAGTAGCGTGACCAGGCTTTTGAAGGAGGGGTTCGACTGGAGCGTCTTCCGAACTGGTGCTGCCGGTGGTTGGGGCACGCCATTGCTTGGCCTCGAGTCTTCTGTCACGACGTGCTTACTAACCTCCCGTTGAATAGGATCTTCCGAGAGTCGTGCAGTCACGCGATCTAGCAGTGAGTGTACTCGCTCTAAGCCGCGAACTTGGGGCGACTCAACGGAATGCTCTGGGACCGATAAGTGATTCCCATTACCATTTTCGACCTGTGCAGATTTCGACCCTTGCACCGTCAACACGGAAATGTCTACATCGCCGCAGTCACCGACCGGAAACTCGAATTGGGGAAGATTGGAATCTTCATCGTTAGACTGCACTGGTTTGAGGTAGTAATCGCTGGTAACGTACTCCTGTCCCATGACTTCTAATCTACGAAACCGAGTAAGTCTCGTGCAGGCACACTTCCATCACTGTCGGCGACTCTGGATTCAAGAGTAAAAGGCAACCAACGTGAATTTGATTAGGTTACTAGAACCGCCAATTGAATTCTACCATGTCCTGGGAAATTCGCCAGTGTAAGTACATTCAAAATCAAAGTTTCAGAAAAGTAGACTTGCGTCGTTTCAAGTTGCAACTACACATGAGGCAGATGTTTTGAATTGATCATATCCTGCTGCCTATCGCCGAAAGCAAGATCTTGTAGTGTTATTCATCTACTAGCAGAACATTGAAACTGTTGAGCTACATTGTGAGACATATGCCCAAACAAACGTGAACCACTCCCTCGGAGTAGATATCTAAACCCCAGACCCGAGGCTGTTGCCAAAAATGAAAGTTGTCATGAACTGTGTCGATCAGATCGAAATACGGGTGCTGTCAAGCTCGTCTAGGTAAACAACAATCGTGGTTAGCATTGCAAACTGATCGAAGGTGTCTAGAAGCAATATCGTACCCCAGAATATGCCCCACAATTCACACTAGAAAACTAAAAAAATTAAAAAAGAACCACTCCCATGACCTTTACAACATGAAGCATGGGCAATCAAACTCAGGCCGAACGAGTACCAGCACTAAATCAGTGAGCTCGCTTCCCTTCTCACAGGAATCTGAAGCAACAAAGCGAGGCGTGGATCAGAACCTCCCACATCTAAGCCCCATTGCCTCGCCGCCCTCCCCGCCGCCGCCGCCAACGACGACACATGATACTGTCGCACACAAGGCGCTAGCACTCACCCCCACACACCATCCTCCCTCATCCCAGAACTGTGGCAAACTCTGGATGCAACACAAGCCAGAGAGATAACACCGAGGAGCAGCTGTCCCACGGACAAGCCGTGCTTCAAGCATCCGGAAACCACCGAGCCTAAAACGACGCACCAACTGTGCAGCTCACTGGATCGAGTGGATTTATTCACTGTTTCGGGACTCCTCCCACTCTCCAGTGGTCAAAATTAGGCGGGCGCATTAATCTCAACGCTTTGTCCTTTCTGTGGCAATAGCACGCTCTTCGCTCGCACCCTACGATTCCTTGCGCTGCGCACATTCGGCTGGCTCTCTGCTCGGCCTGTTTATAGAGCGCCGCCGTTGTGCAGTCGTGCCCCGCCACCTCAAGCCAGTTTGCTACCCAGCGAGGGCTGGTCTTGAGCTCACATGGGGTAGTAATTAGGTCCGGTTCATTAATTATCTGATTCCTTGGACTCTAATCAAGTGTGGTGGATCTTATCTACAAAACCTGCAACGTAATTGCGAAACTGAGTTATGTTTGCGGCTGCTGCTCCTTAGTGCATCTGCACCCAACTTCACCCAATTCTTTCAAGACCGAGATGGAGTTTTCCTTCCAAAAAACCAGTCATCAACTGTCATAAAACACAGCATATTTCGAAGTTCATAGGCTAGGAAGTGCCATCACAATGACGCGTAAAAGTAAACAAAACAACACGAAAACTCATTTACCCTAATATTTCTTTTGCTGCTAAGAACAGGAGACAGCGAGAGTTTATGGCAACCTCGGAGCCTGGTGAAGTGAAGGTGTGTGTGTGCCTGGATTCTCTGCTGTCAGAGTTCGCATCAGCTTCGAGAGCTTGCGGAGGTTGTTGAGACTCCTCCCCACGCAACAACCCTGTTTTCTCATCAACCAGGACATGGTGATGGGTTTTTGGATGTGCAATTTCTTCTGCTTCTTCTACTTGTTGTATTGTTTTGTGTCGGCTTTTGGGGAACTATGCAGTCATAAGTGTTTCCCACCCTTGCAGGCGCAAGATTTGCAGAGTTAAGTGTGTGAAACCTTGCAGGTGAAGGCTGGGGTTGAGATTATAATCAGTGTATGGATTTGAGTAGAAGGAGGTCCATTCAACGCATCATGCAATTGAAGCTGTTATGGTTGCAGTCTATTTATCACATCATTTAGTTTCTGCATGCAAGTGTGTGTAGATGTATAAATATATATATATATATATATAGTTTTTGAATGCAAGAGAATGCAAGAGAGAAAGGGGGATTGTTGAGAAGTAAGACCCACTTGAAGGTTAAAGTGATTTGATGATATATATATATATATACTTATTTATTTATTTTAAAGGCCATTTCAGTGTCTAAGACATATGTGGTGCATTGGGTAACAAAGTGTTCTTTGCAAGGACTCTGCCACAATGGTATTGCACTGCTTGTATACAGTGAGTTGAAACAGTGCTGCTCATCTTTAACAAATAAAACTCTCTCTCCCATTCTTCTGTTTTTAGTCATTCACTTTAAACATTGTGGTTGTTTCATATTACATTTACATAATTTTTAGAAATATTACATGATACTTGGAGAAGATTTTATTTCTCAAAAGAAATTAAATATCAAAAACATTCAAAGAAATTGAAGAAATTTGATTTGTTAATTAAATACATCATTTTCATTTTTAATTCCATCCACAAGCAGTAGAATTTGTCTTTCTTTTCATACAAAAGTATAATTACTTCTAGATGATTTACAAAGGAAAATTCCTCACTAATGCTAAACAACTAAAAATCCTAGAAAATTGTGTATGACCTTGTTCACACAATATTACTTTAAAAATGTATAAATAAAATATTAATTAATTAATTAATTAATTCCAAGTTAGTAATCCAAAAAAAAAATTTATCATGATTTTAGAAATCAGCATATTTATAAAAAGAAGTAAATCAATAAATAAACATAAAGAATAAATAAATAAAAATCAAACATAGTATATATTTGGAAATATATATCTATTTATATATATTCAAATAAAAAGATAGATATAAAATTAATTAATTAATTAATTAATTAAAATGATCTATCCATTTACTAAATCAATCTATCCTATTGTAACCATTATTAAAAAAAAATGTATCATCTCCAAAAACCATCATTATAATCGTGGTTTTTATTGCCACCTCCTCATTCTCAACTTCTATTTCATTTGTTCTTAGCCTTCTTTATTCCAAATTCCCTATTTATGGTTTTTATTCCAACTCTTCTCATCTCATTTTCTTCCAAATTTTTTTCTTTTGACTTGAAAAAGCAAGATGTGAAGAAACATGGTTATATGTTAATTGATTGTCTCACATAAGGCTACAACCCATCCTTTCACTATATAATTAAAGCAAAAAATAAAACAAGAGAAGACTTTGTTTATGCTAAAAGGATAGAAATCTTGTTTAGTAGTCATGTAACAATAATACATGTAGCATATTTAATGGCCAAATTATTTAAAGGATCAATTTATTCTACAAACATTTCAATTGATCAATACAACAAAAGATATATAAATTTTTTAAAATTGTATACATAATAAGCATGTAAATTTGTATATTTATAATTATAATTACTAGAGGATCTTGTATCTTAAAATATTCCAATCTCTATTCTTTTTTTAATTCCTTATATATTTTTGTCTAGCTTTTAGGATTAAATTTTATTTAGAAAATTAGCCAAATATGAGTGTACAACTAGTCTTGCTTATTGTAGTAACAAGTGATATCAATGTAAGTATAGAATTATTTGAGTACAAGAGATTGTGGTAGTAAACCATCTCTTCAACAATTCAAACTCTTATTTCATACTTAATTATATTGTGATATTTGTTTAGTTGAAGTAACATAAAGCAGTTTGTCTAAGGTAGTGGCCTTTTGATAAAGAGTATAAAATTCATTGCCATCTTTACTAGTATGCTTCAACAATACTTGTAGAGCCAAAGGATATAATTTTAAATAGCCTTTTTTAGTATCCATCAATTTGTCTATGTTTCACTTTTATTTATAGAATTCAAAGCAATCACCATAGTGAATGGATGGATCGTAACTTTATGTGAGACAATCAATTGGCATATAATGACACTTTCTCATATCTTGTCCTTTCAAGAATAAGAAGAAGATTTGGAAGAGAGGGAAGAAGAATGAGAAAGGGAATTGGGAATGAAGAAGGTTAAAAATTGAGTAATGGAGATGAATGTGTCACGGACATACTCATGCAAGTGAGTAATTATATATACAAATAGATAGAAGTAAATTAATTCTATAGTATTTGATATGGAAGCTTCCTAGATGCTTCATAGACAATACTTTGACTTCATAGGTATCTTTAATTGACTTTTTGGATTAGAAACGTGATCAACAAGTTGGCCATGTGCCACTCACGTTGTTAGCTTGAAGACCAAGCTAACTATGTGGCCCACACATAGAAAAACTTGCCTTGTAAGTCAAGGCATGTGTCCTACAAAGTCAATACATATTGGGGGTCCTATAGAACATCGCCACATAGCCCCTAGTTAGATAGTATATATAGAGACAAGAATGAAGCCTTCTTCATTCTTGTCAACTCCTTTCTTGCTTCGAATCTAGTTTCAAGGGTCTCTAGTTTTCTTGTCTTTTGGCAATAGCCATTCTAGTTTCTCTTTCAATATACATACTTGTTTATTTATATTTTATTACCTTTCTTTGAGTGAAGGCTCACCTATCTGAATTGTTTTTTCATTGAGTTCTTGTCCTTCACAAATTGACAAGAGTACACCTACAATATCAGAGCTTTGTCTAATCTTGATTAAGAGTGGATTATTCCTTTTTCATTATAAGATATAAGCATATTAGAAGTTGCGACTTACCCTCTTCTAAACTGATATTGTCCTTAGTATTTTCTTTGTTCTCAAGTCCACTCTTCTATTTGTCTTAAGCGATATTAGACATCTTCTTTTTTTTTAGTGTTATCATGGCAAAACTTGTTGAAATGAAGAGTGCAATGGCACAAATACAAGAGCAATTGAAGGAGTTAATGCTTGTGATGCATCAACTCAATTTACCACTACAAGGAGCAACAAGATTGGCAGGAAGTGAAGATATAGAAATGGTTGGAGCTCCTTCAATATTTGCACTATATCATGTCCTTTCTCCTATGGCGGAATGCCCTTCTAGTGTTAGAGAACCAAGAATTGCCCTACCCGAGAAGTTTGATGGAATCAGATCCAAGTTTCGAGGATTTATCAATCAAGTATAACTTGTGATTGAACTTCAACCCCAAAGCTATCCAACTCTAGAATCACAAGTTAGATTCATTGGTGCGCTTCTTTCAAGTTCAATACTATCATAGTTTTCATCTTTTCTTGAACGACGAGATCCAATATTGGATAATCTAGAGGCTTTTCTGGTGAAGTTTCGATTCATGTATGGAGAACATGATGTAATTCATGTTGCAACCAATAAGATCCGTATTTAACGACAAGACAATTGATCAGTAATGTTGAATACTTTACAATTTTGAGAACTTGCAACTGATATAAAGTGGGATGATGCTGCACTAATTAGCCAATTTCTCTACGGATTACAATATGAGGTAAAAAAATTAATGCTCAACTTACCTGATCCTCAAACATTGAGTCAAGCAATTGACTTTGCTGTGAAGTGTGACAATCGTCTTTTTGAATTCCGATCTGAGAACCGTATAAGTGGACTTCAACGTTACTATAAATCAATGGTAATATCAACACCTCTTCAATGCATACATTCGGAAGTAGAGGATATGCAAATTGATGCAGTATGATTCAAACCTCTTACTAAATAAGAAAAGACTCGTCGTCGTCAATAAGGATTATGTTTATATTTTGGAGAACCAAAATACACTGCTCAACATTGTCCAAAGAAACGACGCAATGACAAAATGAGGAGTATGGCTGTGAAAGAAGACAATATGTCGGAAAACGAATTTGTCGAGCTACAATAGGGACCGTGCGACTGGAACCTTGCACAATATCTAGTAAAGGTCCTATTCTCTCCTCAGAGCCCTCTCCTTGTTTTATATTAAATATTATTTTAGGACCTAAACATTACAAAGTCTCTGCCTTGTTAGATTCAGGAGCCTCAGCGTCTTTTTTAGATGAAGAATTTATTAAA